ATATGGCTGAATGAATATTTCATCCATCAATAAAATCATGTACTGCTCACCAGGTTTCACAAATCTGAAAAGGTTTTTTGCATAGCCTAAAAAATTATATCTCATCGGGAACTGGATCGACCATCAATGTATTACATATTGACTTCAGAGTATTTTGGTGTGGTAAAATAAGTGCTCCATGGCTCCTAATAAATCTATACTAAGTGACATATAAATCCGAACACCCAGTTTAAATGGTTTTATTTTATTAAAATTTTATATAAGTACTTAATGAAGCATAATAAGTAAATGATAAAAATTTCAAAATGATTGCACTGCTTTAAAGCCCTTTGACCTTTAATAATGTGTGGATGCACCCTGATGTGCTACGCATTCTCCAACGCGCCTAGGCATGCTTCTGATCAGGTGATCAATGTCCTCCTGTGGTATCTCATTCCAGGCAACCACCAACTCCTCTCGAAGTGCTTCTAGAGTCTGAGGAGGATGTTGCAAATTGAGCAATCTCCTACCCATCATATCCCACACGTGCTCAATTGGGGATAAGTCGGGAGATCTTGGTGGCCATGGTAACAATGTGACATCATTATGTTGAAAGAAGTCTATTATGACTCTTGCAACATGTGGTCGGGCATTATCTTGTTGGAAAGTTGGATCTGCCAGGGTGTCAAGATAGGGTAAAAGATGGGGTTCTAGAACTTCGTGGATATAACGCTGCGCGTTCATGTTACCTCTGATGAAGATTAAAGGTGACCTGGAACCATAAGCTATAGCACCCCAAACCATAACTCCAACAGTGTGATGAACATGTCTTTCAACAAAAAACTGTGGATTCCTCCTTTCACCACGTCGCCTTCTAACCCTGGCACGACCATCGTGCATGCCTAAACAAAATCGAGACTCGTCACTAAAGACAATACTGTTCCATTCCTGATCCCAGAGTGACCATTGTCTGCACCACTCAAGGCGATTACGTCGGTGTTCTCGAGTTAAAGGGAGGACCCAGTGTGGCCGGTATGAAAATAAGCCAAAACTTCTCATTCGTCGGTAAACACTTCGCATGCCAATAGGTCTTCCGTGTTCTGCAAACCATTCATTTGCAATGGACCTGGTAGTGGAGAAACTGTCCCTTAAGGCCAATAATCTTAGGCGGCGATCTTCACGGTCTGTTGTTCTACGGCGGCGTCCAGTGCCATTTGCTCTTTGCGTACGGCCTTCTCGAAGCCATGCCTGACAACACCTAACCACAATGTGTACACTTCTTTGCACTCTAACTGCAATTGCCCGAAAAGAAAGTCCAGCTTCCCGAAGTCCCACTATACGGCCCCTATCAAACTCACTAAGTTGACGAAATCGTACAGGTCTCCGTACTCTAGGCATCGTAACCGATCGTAAAGGATGTCAAGAACCAAAATCCGCCAACGTTGATTCTTTACTGCGGCTGAAATATTCATTTTTAGAGCGTTAGTGAATTAAAAAAAAGCAGTATAAAAACCGGAATGTCCAATTGATAAGGCTGAAAATTTTTTCACTTGTTATTTACAGTAAGATAAATACATTCACCAACTTTTATTAAAATAAAACCATTTAAACTGGGTGTTCGGATTTATATGTCACTTAGTATAATTTTTCATCTTTATAGCATAGAGTGCAATATACTGTCAACGGAGTATGTGTATAATCTAAATAACTTACAAATAGAAAGGAAAAAGTGATATTGTTCAGGTGTGTAATTTATTATTTATTGCTGGCAAGAAAAATACATGGCACACATTATCATTTTTCCGAGCAACCTTGAAATGTATGTTAGTATATTGCATTATTTCTAAGCCGTACCAGTAGTTTAAGTAAGTAATAATAGTGATAGTATTTTTGTTAGTATTGTAACTGGAGAGGGGAATTAGAGGAAAATCGAGCGTTATTTTATTTCAATTTCGAAAGCAGATGGATTCAAAACATGCTGTTATTATCATATTTCATTAGGAAACTACATGTTGACAATATCGTAAAAGTAGATACCACAAAATTCATTTTACATTTACAACCTGTAATAGGTATTAATAACAATTCATAAATAAAATAACCAGTAATTTATCGTAAGAAACTCGTCGCTATTTAAAAGGTTTACATAATTTCTGGAAATAATCTAAAATATTCCGCTTATACAGAGCTATTCAGAAAATGTTTCTACTTAGAAAAAAAGTTCCTATAAACACAGGTCATAATAACCCATCACCAAGAACTCGAAAAATAATAGCATCAAGTAGGTTGACTATACAGGGTGTTTTAGTTTATTGTTGCATAACTTTAAGATTTGATAGAACTTTTAAAATTAATGCATAAAGTCTATATAAACATGGGTCGAAAAATGCGTGGCTTCCGAAATACAGGGTGTTTAAATTTACTTTCTAAAATAGTTTTTTTTAAATATTTCGAACAATATTTGATGTGTAACAGTGAAAATTGGTATACAAGGGTTTTTTGGTACGACAAAACGAACCGTGGGCATAGTTTTACTGTAGCCGCTAGAGGGCGCTCTCTACTGAACCTGTAGTGTATTAAAATTACCAAAAATGTTTTCTTAGTGCAATTTTGTGCTTTTTGAATAAAAAAACTGATTCCTCGCACTTTCCAACATAAAAAAGCTCTCTCGTGAATTTTCGTTATAGTTAACCGTTTTTGAGAGATTTCGATTTTTAAGGTTCGATGCATTTTTAATTATTTATGATAAAATAACGTTAAAAAGTCAGTATCTCGATAATTTTTAGAAGTAGGCTGTGTCTCTAAATATTTTTGTAATTGAAAGCAGAATAAGGTTAAACGTCAATTAGTTGACAGTTAGTTTTGTTGTCTGTTGAAACCTGAAACGTTTTTTTGCTATTGTGAATGCACGAAATTTAGTTTCTTTTACCTGTTTTTTTTTGTAAGTTTTATAAATATGCCACTTTTATTCTCCAATCGAGAGTTAGCGGATATTCATTTTGTGTATGGCTTTGTAAATGGAAACGCAGCAGAAGCAGCCAGAGAATACGCACGAAGATTTCCAAACAGACGACATCCAATTCGCTCAGTATTTGTAAGAGTGCATCGCCAAATAATTGAAAATGGTTTTGGAAATCTCCAAAGGGATCAAAACATAAATGTTCGTCAGCGCAGATTTACCCGTATGATTCTGCGTGAGTTTGATAGAGATCCGACCACAAGTGTTAGGAGAGTTTCTGGTGCCTTGGGAATTTCAGCAAGCCATGTTCCCCGTTTTCTTAGAAATGACCATAGACGTCCTTACCATTTGCAACCTGTGCAAGGACTACAGCCAGGGGACGGAGAACGAAGAATCACATTTTGTCAGTGGATTCTTGATAGAACTGATAATAATAGGGAGTTTTAAGTAACGTTTTATGGACCGATGAGTCATGCTTCACTAGACGTGGAGTGGTAAATTTTCATAATCAACATATTTGGTCGCATGAAAATCCGCATGAAGTTCGGGAAAGAAATTTTCAGCATGAATTTAGTGTGAACGTGTGGATTCGTATCTACCGTAATCGACTATTTGGACCCTACCTTTTGCCTGCAAGGTTAAATGCTTCGACCTTCTTAGAATTTTTAAAGGCTGAACATGCAAATATGTGGGATGATGTTATGTTAGATTTAATAAGATTGGCCTGGTTCCAGCTTGATGGTTGTCCAGCTCATTATTCGAGAATAGTTAGAAACTGGCTGGACGAAAATTATCCAGAAAGATGGATCGGCCGTGGAGGACCAGTCGCCTGGCCTCCACGATCCCCTGACCTAAATCCATTAGATTTCTTTGTGTGGGGATTTCTAAAAGAAAAAGTGTACCAGACTCCCGTAACCACAAGAGGTATGCTAATAGACAGAATCAGAAATGCATGTGATGAAATAAGGCCTTATTTGAACAATGCTATACCACGTTCGATCATTCGTAGATGTGAATTGTGTATTGAACAATTGGGTTTACATTTCGAGCAACTACTTTAGATTTTGTATGTTTGTCCTAACTATCAAATAGCATTTTAGTTGTAAATAATTAATTTAATTTGTTAAAAATAATATTGGAAAATTAAACAAATTAATATTCTGTTTTTTGTGTTTATTTGGAGTTAGGAATTATTGCTGTGTTTAAAAACACAATCTAAACGATCATCTTAATTACTTGTAATGCCCAAATCGAAAATGTAAAAAAAAAATATTATTTTCCCATAAATAATAAATTAAAAATGCATCGAACCTTAGAAATCAAAATATTTCAAAAACGGCTAACTATAACGAAAACTCACAGGAGAGCTTTTTTATGTTGAAAAGTGCGAAGAATCAATTTTTTTATTCAAAAAGCAAAAAATTGCACTAAGAAAATTTTTTCGGTCATTATAATACACTACAGGTACAGTAGAGAGCGCCCTCTAGCGGCTACAGTAAAACTATTCCCATGGTTCGTTTTGTCGTACCAAAAAACCCTTGTATACAAATCTTCACCATTATACATCAAATATTGTTCGAAATATTTAAAAAAACTATTTTAGAAAGTAAATTTAAACACTCTGTATTTCGGAAGCCACGCATTTTTCGAACCATGTTTATATAGACTTTATGCATTAATTTTAAAAGTTCTATCGAATCTTAAAGTTATGCAACAATAAACTGAAACACCCTGTATATTATGCTTCCCACGCTATGCTGTCATCAGCTCGTGAAGGATAATTCTTAAGACGTTGTGTGTGTTCGCTACGAGAGGAATTGTTTGTTGTCCTTCACCATGCATAGTGCATACCACCCACAGTGGTCTGGAAGTGATTGCCGACTGTGACGCACGACCACCGACGACGACGTTTGTCCATCGGACGACCACGTCGCAGGTACCGACACCCGACCAAATGACTCGAGTGAGTTCAAACGTGTACTGAAGGCGAATCACTTTCCCTCCAGCGTTGCCAGATTGATCGCTACGTCGCCAGTTTACCTATATTCTGATTTTGTTACAGTTTGAAATGTCTGCGAAAGCTATACGAGAAGCGACAGGCAAGGACCTGATCAACAGGCATCTTGGCGGCAACACAGCTGCCGCCTCCTGTCGATTTGCATCCGTCAATGCTGACACCAAATTCGCGGAGCTCATCAACAGCAACCCGTGGCTCAAGACTGAGAAGCTAGTCGTCAAACCTGATCAACTGATCAAAAGGAGAGGGAAACTGGGTGAGTTTTTCGTTCTTCATTGAACATTTCTACAGGTACGCATTATGTACAACACCCTGTACGTGATATACAGACAAAACAGTGAAAACATTCTACCAAATATTATAGCTAGAAAATCGACCTATTATTTGCCGCATTCCCATTGGTCCCACTTGAATAACTGATCATCTTTTCTGAAATGAAAAAAAAAATAAAATTCTATGAAAGTTATTCTAATTCTAAAGCACAAAGACATAATATTACATCTATAATGTACCCTTATTTATAAGGCAATCTTTTTTCACGACTTTATTCAACATTGCAATAGAAATCACTGATATTCAGTGAGCTTTGACAGCTTCTGTAAAATTGCATTCCGATAAGGTCTTTTCCTATTAGTCCAATTGACGGTCAAATATTAATGTTGGTGAAATTGGCCCTTATAACAGAAAATTCAACACCCACTAGGAGTGCTGTAATTTCGAGCATACAAGTTTTACGTCTACTGATAAATAGAAAGTGGTTAAAATTTTTACTCGAAAATAACTGAGAAATCCCACCTTAATGTTGATAATGTGTTGAAGCTCCTCTGTTCGCTGCACAATCTACCAGAAGAAAACGGAAACATTGGAAGGCAATCCGGAACTATTTAAATTTCGTCATTTGCCAAATAAGACGCAATGCTTAGAATCGGAACAACGAAATATACGCTAGATTCATGAATATTTCCATGAATAATTCATGAAACATTCATGAATTTTCGGTTGAACTCTGACAGGAATTTACGCTTGAACTATCAAAAATTGTTCATTGCGGAATCAACAAAAGCGAGTGAATTACATGCCGGTTATCCAATTAGTATTAACAATTACCCTAGTAGGATCAATGTCATTTTTGTTATGCTCCGACTCTCTGATTTGCTATATTTATTGATGGTTATGTCATGTGACAATATCTCAGCTCATGGGATAATTGTTTATGCTGCGAGGTTTTTCCATTCATGCTACCGTTAAACTTCCAGGGGCGTATTTACTTGAAGGCCAAAAGGGCCATGGCCTAGGGCGGCTCAAACCGCCGTCATTAAAAGTATTTGCTTATTTCCGGTCCTTCAATGGGCGGAGATCCTTAACAGGCTCACTACAGTATATCCAGATAAGAGATAGACCGGATGTAAACAAAAGGTTCGGGTGATTTTCACGCTAACGCCGCCGTCTCGACGTAAAACAGGAGCCCTCATTGGTCAATTCGCAATTAAATGCCTATGCCGAGCGGCAGAGCAGTCGTATCAAGGCAGAGTCACATTCAGGTTCAGACGTGTTAGGTATGTCGTGTGCATTATTGCAATTTGATATTTCTTTGGACGTTTTCGTTTGTTATCTTATTAAGTTGTTGAGTTTGTCGTTGTTATTGTTATACCTTGTTATTGATTGTTATTGTTATCAACTGCTTGCGCAAAATGCCCAGTAGTACAGATACTGCCGATGAAGTTGTAAACTCCTGTAGTCCACCTAGGAAACGCTCTAAAAAAAGACACCTGAGTGCAGAAATGAAAGAGGTCATTTTGAATATATATAAGATCGAGCGCGAGGAGAACGAGGCATCAACCATCAAAGAAATTGTTGTGAAGGTTTCTCACAAAGTTGGGGTGTGTCGCGCATCAGTGTTTATGTGTTAAGACAATACAAAAAAAATCACACCTTTTCTGAGCCAATGACCAGTAAACATCGCAAAAGTATTGTTAAATCATTGGATGAATGATAAGCATGCGATTAGGAGGAAAGTGCACGAATTCTTCTTTAGGAATGAAATACCTACTATAGATAAAGTACTGCAGGAGGTAAATGGAGATACAACGTTGCCAAATTTCAAACGATCAACTTTCCATGCGTTACTGAAGCATTTAAATTTCAAATGGAAAAAACGGGGTCGTAATAGTTTACTACTGGATAGAGAAGAAATTGTGCTATGGAGGAGGGATTATTTAACAAAAATTGGGACATATAGAAATCAAAACAGGAAGATTTATTACCTTGATGAAACGTGGGTAAACGCAGGACACACTACAAGTAAAGTATGGGTTGATGATTCTGTAACGTCATCCAGGAGGGCCTTTCTAGGTGGACTGTCCACCGGATTAAAAAATTCAGCAGGTAAATACGAGTAATAGACAACAATCGGATGTTTTTCAAACCTTGGGAACAAGGTTCTAAACATTAATTCCAGGGGGCAGATTAAACACATTACAAGTAACAAAACTTTTATAACTTTCGATAAAATGCGTGGATGTTTTATTGTCATTTTCATTTGTTAGAACTTTTTTAAGCCATGTTTTTATGTGTTTTCGATATTTCAATAATTTTTTAATATAATCTTAAAATATGTCGAATATTATAAACTTAAAAAAAGTTACTGAGTTTTATATTGTGTACCGTTCCTAATATTTCTAATCATTTTAATTCATACTTTAAGCTTTATAAAGTTATAATTTGTTAATATTAATATTTGCGCGTATTTCAGGTTCCTGATCATTCATTTTTTAGAGGTTTATAACTTTAAATTAAATTGTGAAGCGCTGAGTAATCATACGACGTTCAATATTCTTTCTTTCAATATGACTAAATAATCCCAATTATAGCAATCTGATACTCATGTCTCAATGTTTTTTCGCTGAATGTGATGAAAACATTTGAAAAAGGTTCGCTTATTGAAATAAATCTACCAGTTAGTACTTCGATTTCCAGGTAAAGGGAAAAGGCTCATTATCTGCCATATTGGCAGTGAGGATGGATTTGTTGTTGACGATCTGTGGTGCTTTGAGTCTAAGAAAACTGGAGATTACCACGAGGAAATGAATGGCGAATCGTTTGAACAGTGGTTTTCAAAAATTTTACCGAACTTAGAGGAAAACGCAGTAATTGTGTTGGATAATGCGCCTTATCATTCTCGAAGAATGGAGAAGGTCCCAACAACGGCTTCAAGGAAAGTTGATGTTCAAAACTGGCTCCGCTCGAAAAATATCAACTTTGAAGAAGCAATGCTGAAAGTACAATTATTAAGAATTGTCAAGGATCACAAGGCGGAATATCAATATATAAAATACGCCATTGACGAAATGGCAGCAAGTCAAAATAAAACTGTGCTCCGTTTACCTCCATACTATTGCGAGCTCAATCCCATTGAGCTCATATGGGCAGAGGTTAAAAATTATATAGCTAAGCACAATACAACTTTTAAATTTTGTGACCTCAAAGGACTTTTCAAAGAAGCACTAGAATTAATAACAGCGCAAAAATGGGAAAACTGTATTAAGCACGTGAAAGACAAAGTTGAAAAGAGAATGTGGGAACTGGACAATATTTTAGAGGAACAAGTCGAGCCATTCATTATTGACGTTAGTGCTTCAGGCAGTAGCGATGATGAAAGCTCATCAAGCTCATCTTTCCAATAAAAGATGTCGTTCATCAAATTCGGTAAGTTATAAGTAATTATAAAGCTACTGTATTTTTTAATTAATTATTGACATTTTTGAACCCATTTTGGCAAAACCTATTCAAGAATCTACTTTCTGACAATGTTCAACCATGCACATTTTTTTACGTTTTGAACGTTTTAATTTGGTTACATACATATATTTACCTAGAAATCAAAAAATATACTAATCAATATTCTAAAAGCAATTTTAAGAGATATACGATTATTTTTAATTTAGTCTAATTTAAACGCCATTTTGAGATTATATTCGACTGTATTTCACCAAACATCAGACGGCATCCGAAGCTGGAAATCGAAGCGAAAATTTTGAAACCCTTATGTATATTTACATCATTATATATATCTTACCCCACCCCCACATGATCCTATATCCATCACCAATCGTATACACATCGAATTGTGCTAATTTACTACGAAGTTACGCAAAGCAGCATCTACTATCTAAAATATGTACTGCGTGACTCTTAGTACGTCCCTGCCGATTGTTACAGCGTTCGATGATCACGTGGTCTTGTTTATGTCCGGTCTATCTCTTATCTGAATATACTGTACGAAGGTAGTTTCAAAAATAAGGTTCCCACATTTTTTCAGGAACGGGCCTTTAGTTGAAAAAACGAATTCGCCATTGGAAACGTTGATCTTTAAGCTATTTTTTTCTGTGACGGGAAAACAGTTTTTCTCTGTTGACAGGTAACGATTTCACTTATTATGAAATTACTTTTTTCCGCGGAAAAAAATGAGTACCTTCTCCCTAATGTTACCTGGCTGATTTCACAAATTCGAAAAGCTCCTGCAATCCCAAATACAACAACAATCTTGCCCTTTAAATAAACTTAATCAGGAGCATTACTTAAATAATCACTAATTTGTGTACTCGTAAAAATCGCAGCTTTCTTGGTCTTGTAACCTTTCCCATTTTGTTTCAGAAATTTAATTATGTAGTTTGAAATATACTAAGTGACATATAAATCCGAACACCCAGTTTAAATGGTTTTATTTTAATAAAATTTTGTATAAGTACTTAATGAAGCATAATAAGTAAATGATAAAAATTTCAAAATGATTGCACTGCTTTAAAGCCTTTTGACCTTTAATAATGTGTGGATGCACCCTGATGTGCTACGCATTCTCCAACGCGCCTAGGCATGCTTCTGATCCGGTGGTCAATGTCCTCCTGTGGTATCTCATTCCAGGCAACCACCAACTCCTCTAGAAGTGCTTCTAGAGTCTGAGGAGGACGTTGCAAATTGAGCAATCTCCTACCCATCATATCCCACACGTGCTCAATTGGGGATAAGTCGGGTGATCTTGGTGGCTATGGTAACAATGTGACATCATTATGTTGAAAGAAGTCTATTGTGACTCTTGCAACATGTGGTCGGGCATTATCTTGTTGGAAAGTTGGATCTGCCAGGGTGTCAAGATAGGGTAAAAGATGGGGTTCTAGAACTTCGTGTATATAACGCTGCGCGTTCATGTTACCTCTGATGAAGATTAAAGGTGACCTGGAACCATAAGTTATAGCACCC